TTCATGGGGTCACGAAGAGTCGGACACGACTTAACGACTAAACAACAACCTCTGCTGAAGCTGGCAAGGTCGGGGGTTCTTCAGTTCTAGGTAGGAGACGGTGTAAATGGGTTGCTTTTGTACAATACACTTAATTGGGCCAAAGAAGGAGGTACAGTAAGAGGTGAGGGAAGGTGCTGAAGGAGAGAGAGATGGTGGAATCCCAAGTGCCCGTAAAAAAATAATTTGTTTAAACTTTGAAAAACTTTTTTTATTGGCCTAGGGGTTCCTCCCTCTCTCTTTTGTTAAATTCAAGGTGTAGCCACTGCACTCGTGCAGCATGCAAAGCTTGGCTAGCGCTATGCATAGAGTTGTAGCAGCTGAGGTGGTGAATTGGCACCCGGGAGACCCAAGTCCCAGTCTCTCCCCAGCTAGGGACTAAAGAGACTTTGGGCCCGTCCCTTCCTCTCAGCCCAAGAGCAAGGATGGTCCAGTGGGGAAAATGCTGAACTAGGAGCAGGACAGCCAGGTTGTTCTGGCCCCCCTTCAGCCATGGAAGCTCCCTGGGGGACTTCGGGCCAGTCCTCCCCTCTCAGCCCACAAGCCAGGGTGGACCAGGGGTGGAGAGACCTCATCCCTCCTCAAACACCGCATTCCTACCGCCCATCAGGAACCTGCTTGACCCACCTTCCACAGAGACTTCTCGGGAGCGCACCAGGTCAGTCTTGTTCCCCACGAGGATAATGGGAATGTTCTCTGCCTGCCGGGTCCGGCGGAGCTGGATGCGGAGCTCCGATGCGCTCTCAAAGCTGCCCCGGTCCGTGATGGAGTAGACAATGACGTAGGCGTTGCCCACCTGCATACAGTAATTGTGCAGCCAGTTGTCTTCCTCCGAAGACTGCAAGAAGAGGAGGAGAGATGCTCTCGCAAGAGGAGGATTGCCTCCTTTGACCCATACCGCACGCCTAGGCATTTGAGTCAAAAGTACAGGAATAAACATTGGCGTCCTTTTCTTGGCAGCCCAAATTAGCTGGTTCGGGGGCAAAGACCACCCCACCAAAGAGGATGGCGATGAAATGTGACTTGGTGGTGAAACTGAGGAGGATGCTATGCCAGCAAAACCCTCCCACTTCTCTGTACCACCTGAACACTGACATGTAGCTACTGAGTTTTTGCGTTGTGTGAAGTTCCACTAAAGCAACCAGCAGGAGCCCTGACTTCTCCTTGGTGCAAGAACGTTGGTCCCAGACCTGAAGCAGAACTTCAGATGGGCTCAGGCACAGGTGATGAGCTTGGGCAAGCGGCCAGGTGGGAGCAGGACCAAAATACATCCATCGCTTGACTACCTGACAGCAGGTTGTCTCCAAGGGCTCACTAGGAAGGCCACTGCCACAGCTGAATTGAGCCTCTGAGAATTGAGTGCTTCTGCAACATTTGACAGCATCTAAGTCATCTGATCCGTCAGCAGGACAAGACGCTTGAGGCCATCCAGTCCAACCCCCAACCACATGCAGGAATCCAAAGTAAGGCCCCCTAACAAATGGCTCTCAAAAACATCTCGCCCACTGCTCAACTGCTCTTCTTGTTAGGAACCATCTCCTAAAGTTTGATCTGCATCTGCCTCCTTGTAACAGAAACCCCTTATTCTGTGACCTGCGCTCTGGAAACAAAGGAGAAAAACTTGAGCTTCTTCTAGGCATTCTCAGTCGTCTTTTCTCAAGGCTCAACATGCCCAGCCCTCCTGGTGCTCAATTTCCCACCCCCTGATCATCCTTACTGCTTGGCTTCCACTCTTCTGACAGGCAGGAGCCCTTAAACGGTCCCCAGGTTACATCTGGTCCCATCCCCAATGCATTTTCCCCGATGAACGGCTCGCTACAACACACCTTATGATCAGAAAGGTCTTCAGGAAGACTGGTTGATCCATATCTCTCCCTTCAGAAATTAACCGGCTCGATTGCAAAATAATATTGTTAACTGAGCCTCTCCTTCTTTCTAATAGACAAACCACAGATTGTTTCTACGTCGTAGAAAAAATGGTAGCAGTGAAGTCTCCTTTGAGTTGCATTCAACTCCTGATGACCTATATCCTTTTTCCTCCTCCAGCCATCTTATAAAAGCTGCATTTAGAAATATATAAATACCAGGAGAGCTTAAATTAGAAACCCACCCTTTGCAATAACATCTGAAAGGTGGATCCATCCAACTTTCTCCAAGGAGGGTTCCTGCCTACAAAAGCAATTCAGGCTTGCAACCCCAAGCAGGCATCGCTTGAAGTCTTGGAGAACCCCTGGCTGAGTCACCACATTGCTGCTGCTGGCCCCCCCTGCATTCCTGCCCCTTCTCCAGTCCAACCTGCCTCAGTGGCTACAAGCAGAGGGCAGGAGGAGCTGATGACTCCTGTCCCTGTGCTGATGCCAGGCAGCAACAGTACCGCGAGAAGCAGTGACCACAAGGATCAGAATGCGACCTCGGTCTCGGGCATCACCTCTCCCTGATCCTTTCACTGGACCAGCTGAAATGACAACATTCAGCCACATGCTCCTGATGTAGCAACAGCATCATTTTGGTAGGCATGGGAGCATTTGAAGCCTTTCATGAATTTGACCTCTGTCATTCTTTCTGCATCAGCTCTGTGGGATAGGCTAGGTTGCCCTCCATCAGACAGACTAGGCAAAAAGGAAGGCGAAGGGACGCCTGCTAGTGAGCAGTTGAAGCACAACTCTGGAGCTTGCGGTTCTGCCTTTCTGTTTCCCCACAGCCCATTTTTCAATTTCATGGCACATTTTGCATTGTTTTCTCCTTGATCACAATCCCTCCGAAGCTGTGTTTCTCAACCTTGGCCACTTTAAGACGTGTGGACTTCAACTCCCAGAATTCCCCAGCC